GAAGCCAATACTAATACTATCCTCCAACTTACCCTCTCGCAGATATTAAATAATCTGCAAAATATGCAACGGAAGATTTAAAATGGAAGCAGGAGATGCTTCAATTGTGGAAAAATCGGGCACCTTTAAAGAACCTGTAGAAGCAGAACTCGTTCTATAAATCGAGTATCAGGAATGAGGCCAGAAAGTCACATAGATCAATCTTCCGTAGCCCGTCACGAAGTCCAACAAGAAATAGTCACAGCAGTTCTGAGTCCCGAAGAAGCCATTCACCAACACTGAGCCGGCTTTCTAGCAATAATCAGGAAGTAGAGCATCGTAGAGGTCGTCTCCATAGCAACGCAAATATTCTCTCCAAGCGACCCTGTTTAGAACGAGAATGCCCGTAAAGTAAGGGGCTCGGAGAACGGGAAGAACAAGTTACTCTTGGGGCAACCACTATCAAACCAGAGGGCAATGAAGAAGAAAGACAATGATTTGAAGGTTGTCTGAGAATGGCTCAAAAATAAAGTTACACCTACTTGGCAAGAGATAGCCAAATACAGTGGAACTATTAAAGGGTACAGGACTCCAGTGGGATTCCTCCTCTTATAGCTGGAAAAGTTGGTCTGCCTGCGACTTCGGTTTCGCTGGGGTCGGCATACTCAAGTTTGTTGTTTTCAGTCTGGCACCTTTTATTCCTAATAATTTTTGTATAAAAAATATGTTTGTTACCTTCATTCCTGTATATTTTATAATTCTATTTAATCATTGTAATGTTTTGAGGTTTAAAATTTAAAAAGTCCCACCATAACTTGATCTTGCTAGTTCAGTGGTACCAACCCACTTTTATCATTTTCAATATTAACTTTTGACAATTTCTTCTTCTTCTTTTCTTTTTTTGGGCTATGATTTTGACAATTTTTCACGAAATTCTCAGGTTGACAATTGTCTTGACAACTTCATTGTCAAATGTCAATTATCACTCAGTTCTTTTTGGAAACTGTCAAGATGGTCAGGTTCTCCAAAATTATTTGTACTTACTACACATACTTTGATTTTCTTTTACTATACGGAGAATGGTCGCACTGCGCAGCTTTCTGATTGCCTTTTAAAAGGAGATAGAAAACTCCGCCATTTTGAACCCTTATTACGTGTTGCCTACATCTTGGCGCAATATTTTTAATAGGTGCGTTTTAATCATCCGCTTCTGCTTCGGAATTGTCGGTTTTCTTGTTTTAATCTGACAGATTAAAACGACTAAACCGACAATTCCGGAAGCAGAAGCGGATGATTAAAACGCACCTGATATTTTGCTTGCTGCTGTCAGTGTCAGTGAATGTTATTTTTGAAGTCACAGTTTATTGCTAAAGAATCAGTTAGCTCACTCGGACCAGTTGAAAGTTCCAAAATAACATCCACTCCAGGGATACAAATTCAGGATACGCAGAAGACTGCTATTTTATTATAGGCGGTTGTCATATATTGTATTATCCGAGTTGCACAGTGTATAAATTGAAACATTGATATCAAAAGTGCCGACGCAGAGTGAGCGATCTGATTCTTTAGCTGTAAACTGTGTCACAGGGTTCAAAATGGCCGCGCCCTATGTTGGGCGTGTCGGACCTCTCTCTTGCCTCGTATAGTAATCAAAGTATGTGACTTACTACGATTTGTTGTGCTCCAACTTGCCTCCGCCTCACGGTACCAACTTGAAAAATTCAGCTGGCTTCATGTTGGAAGAACAGCAGTTTCTCTGCCTTTGAATGGTTGGGAGTGTACAGTTTAACTTGTTGGGATGAACCCTCAGGTCATTTCTTAAAATTTAACCACATTTTAGGAGTGGTTCTTTTATTGTTCATTATTCAAGCTTCAAGCTATGGTAGAAATCAGGGACCGGTTTGTTGCTGTCCTTTTTAATTTAGTTAAATTTTCATGCTATTTCCACATTTTTTGACGAGTAAGTGTTCAAGGTGTTTTATTCAATGTTTAGTAATATTACGAGTTGATTATATTGTTACAGCTCCGTTTTTTTCTCTCTTGTGTAGAGGCTCTGATGATGGCCTAATAGGCTGAAAGCGCTTAGACTAATTTTTTTATTAATAAAACTAAATTTTTGACACTTTAAATACTCTCGATTAATTTCTTCTTTTTATTTTAAATGTTTACTTCAACTTTTTTATCTATTTCTTTTTTATTTAATTTTAAACTTTCTTCATTTACTTTATATTCTTCTTATTTCAAACCTTTCTTTTATCATTTTTTTTTGTTTCTCTATTATTTCTTTCTATAATTTCGTCTAATTTCTGCTCTATTTCTTGTTTGTCTTGTTTTATATTTTCCTTCATCTTCTTATTGCTTTCTGAATTTAATACTTATTGTATCAATCTCTTTTCTGTTTTAATCATTTTTTTTCCATTTTCTTACTGTTTCATCCATATTCTTCATCAATTCTTTCTTAGCTTCATTTCTGTTTTCATTCATTTTAATGAGCAGTTGCATTAAATCTTCCACCTTGATTCCTTCTTTCCTTGCTGTAGATTCATCAATTTCCATTCCTAACATCATAAATAACGATATTTTATTCTATTGTTGCTATTTTGTTTCTTTAGTAAGATATTCAAACTCTTGCTGTTCCTTTTTCTACTTGTTCTAAGCTCTCATCATTTCTCCCATCAAACTTACCTTCTTTTCTCTTTGCAGGTCAATCTAATCTATCTCTTTCAACCCATTTAATTATTATATATTATGTCATCTCATTGTTCTTTGAAGAAACTACAATAATACCTACATACACAACACCTCGTACATAAATATTAAAGGAATTTCACATTTTTCTTAGACTATATAACTTTTACTTCATGCATAAAGCCGGTCTGTATTGTTATTTCAGTCCGAAATTGAGTTTTTTATCTTCCGAATATCTGCAAGAACGATCCAATAATCCGAATCTTTTTAGTACACAAATATCTACTTTGTATAGGATTCGATCAAAGCAACGATTCGTCGGTTCCGAAATAAATTATTGTGAACAAAGGCGGGCGACGTCCGATACCAAAAATTTAAAGGGTTTGACAACAATCTTTAAATCTGCCAATTTGGTCAGTCTGTGAAGGGGTTGTAGAGAATAAGGAAAATATGAGAATATCTATCGATAAAATTACTATAAGGAACATAGCTACAAGGTAAGGAAGAAGAGAAGGAAAATTATGAATATTATTTCTTGTCTTATGACCATAAAATAATTTGAAATCAGTCGATTTAAAAGTAAGGTAGGTAAGCCAATTATTGCCACGCTGTGCTAATATTGTCATCCTCCAAAAAATCGTAAATCCAGCTTGTCTACAATAGATAATATCATCAGCCTGTTTATAATGACCGCGTTGATGTTTCTCATATGCCAGTAGGCATCTGGATTTAGACATGTATGTTTTGTAAGTATTAGGCATTCCAAACTGAATGGCTACCAGTGGGTTTTGATGGGTTATGATATGGCAAAATTATGGCAACCCTGTAGGCCTGGTGATTTGACAAGGTCAATGAAATAGATAGTTACATGGATTGATTATCCATATTTTTCAAAATAAACATAACCGTATGCCTTATTTTTTTTTAATATCTAAAGGCTAAAAATTGGTTTTAAAACACATTTTTGCTAAACCGATTCAAATTAATAAATATTTGCCAGGCAATATGGCCGCTCGTAAACGACCAATTTTGAGCAATCTATATAACTATATATGTATCATTGACCCTGTTAATGACAACATGACAACAGGGTTGCCATATCTAAACTGTCATTACCCACTGGTAGTCATTTGGACAGGTCGTTGGAATGCCTAATTATTGTAAAGGTACGTTTACATCTGACATTTATTGCATGTGATTTATGTCTGACAGTTGTTTAGTCCAGTGTAAACACTCAAACATATATCTCCGAAAGAAATTTTTGTGTATACATGTATACATGAATGGTGGACTCACGAGGCGCTGTTCGCCAATTCGGGAGCATGCAACCTATAGCCAGAACATTCGTAAAATTGAAACAAAAATGAAGGATAAGGATGACGTCGCGGAGTTGAGTGCATGTTTTATTATTTTATCCGACACATTAAAAAAAAGGAGAGAAAGGAATCGATCGTCGATTTCCTGCCAAGTATATTCTTTTTTATGGTGTAATATAACTGATTTTTTAAATCTAGGAGAAGCAAAACGGTTTCCTGGTTCCACTCCATGCAAAATAAATCCTAAAAACTCGCTATAATCTGTACGGTTCTGTATGATACAAATTCCCCATCCAGACTGAGCACGTACTGCGCATTGCCTCCCTTTGATGTACCGCCAACAAACGAATCGGGGCGAGGCCGTACGGCCGCGCCACAGGCCGCGCCTCTGAAGCCCGTCCACATGTGTTATGCGTCATCGGCTTGCCCCATACGCGTACGTGTTCAGATCTGTACCCATCTTAAGGTAAGTTAAACTACTTATGTAATTGCTTGTAATATATTTTGTTTTATTCCCCTTAACGAACGAGAAAAAAGTAGGTTTTGAACGCCTAGGTGACAAGTGCCCTAATATTAACATATGAACTATTCTCAATATTGTTATGGTAATATTCCAGATGTGTAATAAATATATTCAACCTATAATATTCTTTAACTATATTACCCTGAATATTATTATTTCTATGAGATTGTTGTTCGTAATACATATCTTACGCGTTGTTGATTAAGTCGTATCGTAAAAGCCAGGGGGACAACTGCCCCTCCTTGCCCCCCAAGCGACGCCCATGTTTATTGTAATTATTATTATTGGAGAGCCTAGGTTCATTCGGAAAGACCGGTCCTGCTTCCTCCTTCCAACACTATCTTAAAATAGACAATTTTAATACTGCTTTCGCCATCTTAAATCAAATAGAGAAACCATAGCTAGTGTTTGACAATTTTACAACTTAATTTCTGTAATTGTAGGTACCTGTAATGTGAACAAGTAGTTCTGAATAACTGATAAAAGATGTCGCAATAACAATATAAGATATTTTATTGTTTTATCGCTGATTTTATTTAGAATTTAGGATTTAGGACTTAATTTTTTATGAAATTACCGTCTTATACCTACCCACAGAATCGCTTGTGCCCATAAACTCAATATAAATCTAAATTTTTACATTTTCTTTCGGTTATGCGGATCGGAACGGAGTGAAATTTAGAACGCAGTTTTTGTTAATGGAATGTCCCACTTAAAAACAAATTTAAATAAAAAAACAGAAACGTAATCAAATGACGGTGTCATGCTAATTATATTTACAAGAAATGTAGTTAAAAATTATGGGGTTATCAAAAGTTCAGCTGAATCCATACCTACCACTTTTTCAAGGAGAAAATAGTGAGTAAAGCAGTGCAAACCGTGCAAAGAACAAACCTACCTTATGATATGTGTCGCTCTCAGTTGTCAAAGAGATATTTTAAGGTTAGCACATACTTTTACAACCTTTGGCACGAAAGTCAAAATAAAAATGAAAAATTATGTTTGCCAAGTACCTGAATTAGCGAGGACAAATGTTCATATAAAAAACAAAGAACTAGTTAATCAAAAAATTAAAAATTTAATTGAAGGAGGTTTCGATAAATTGCAAGTTGTTTCGGATTTTGATAAAACCCTCACTAAACAACACCAAAATGGAAAAATGCACCTCAGCAGTTTTGGTAAGTGTTAAAACTTTATATATGTATTCATTCTTCATTCATGCATGTCGTAGTTTATTTCAACTTTATTTATTTTATTGATTTTTTAGAAATTATTGATTTTCATTCAAAACTAACAAAGATTTTTTTTTCATGCAAGCAGGTGTTTTCTATAAACCATTTATAACAAGTAAAATTATATAAATAATAGGAAGGTCATTTGTTTACAATAATAGCATTTGGTTTGGTTGCCATTTATGGTAAAAGTCTTTTTATGGTATAGATAATAAGAGTTTAAAATGTTTACCTAGATCTAGATATATGACTACAAAATAAGTGTAATGTAAATTAAATTGTGTGTGCCTAGCTAGAAAAGATGGCAGGGGAACAAATCCATTTATTAGATTTAATTCGTAAATAGGTAATAATTAATTGTGCTTAAATAATATTAACTCGATTTTTCATTACAAAAGCATGGGCATATTCATGATAACTATGGATGAACTATGGCAGAGGATAGTAAATAAAATTAACATTTCTCTTTGAAATATAGTAATTTTTTAAGTAGGATGAGCCTACTGGTTATCTGATACTTAAGCAATTCTTAGCCTGAAAACGTACATAATTGTGTTAATTTTCTGTGTATATTACTTGTCCAAGGACATAATAAGTGCTGTTTTCAAGCTGTATTTTTTCAGGTATCTAAAAATGAATGTCGACATTCATAAACAAACAATTTTTTTTTAATTAGATACAGTTTCTCAATAAACATTGATGTAGTTGAAACTAAATTACATTATCATCTTCATTAGTCTCCTTAAAGAATGTATTATAATATCTCTCATATAGTCAGAAAAAAGTGTCCGGAAACTAGTCAGTGCATTCTTTATTTAAATCTGAGCAATGGAACTAAATATAAGAGATATCTATAACTTATTTACTAGAAAAAGATCAATAAACTTTTACTCTTTCATACCCATTCCTGGGAAAAGGGGGTTTAAGAATTTTGTGGAACCAGTTACCCAGACACTTTTTTTAAGGGTTATAAATTTGATTAAGTATGACATTTATACTTTAAAATGTAAGATTATAGGCCCTTGTATTATAAGTGTAAATTTTAAAATAGGTATTTGGTTTTATTTATCATTTTATTTTCAAAATTAAAATGAGTATTTAAAATAAAAAATACAAACTACAAGATTGGATGATTCACATAGCTCAATTTTATAATTTTATCGTAAATTCATTTTGATTTCACAAGTATAATATTGTTGAACATTAAGTCAAATAGGGGAAGTATCAATGTATCCTACAAAATTGTTTTTGATGACTGAGGGAGCTTGAAGTTCTATATTAGTAACTAATTTTGGAAGATTAAGTTTTAATCTAGGTATGTGGTTAATAAATGTTTTATTTTCGGTAATTCAATTTCTTGAATTCCTAAATATATTTTCAAATTTTTTATTATTAATTTCCTCATAAAGTTAGTGATTGATGAATTAAACACGAGATTAAACACCACTTATTGACATGATTTAACACACTATAACAACAACCAAATGCGTTCTCATTAATTAAAAGTAGGATTATTTTCAAATACCTAAATGGTTTTAAGTATTCATTGAATATTTGTTCTATACCATCAATATAAACTAAAAAGAGTAAAGGACCCAACATGCTTCCTTGGAGTACACCAAAACAGTGTTTTATTTCATTTGAGATCTTGTTATTTATTTCTATTTGTGGTTGTCTAGATAATTGTACGGTCATTGCAATGTTGCTCAGTAACATTTGTAATAAACTCAGCTGAGGGTTAATAATAAAGTCCCACAGATTAAATATCCACTCAGGATTATTTAAATAAATCAGAATTTACTTTAGAATTAGTTTTATTGTATTAGCAACACAGTGGGCTTCACACAGAACAATGAATAATAAAAATGTCAACTGTCATATACCATTGTACAGTACCAACTTAAAACATTAAATATTAGTTAGGCATTTTATAGAGGTTCTAACACATTATACAGGGTGTAACTAAATAAGTGTAAAACATTTAAGGGGGTGATTCCTCATCGAAAAAAAGATAGGATCTTTCATATAAAGAAACTTCATTGGAGCTTCCCTTGTTAAGATACAGCCCCTTAAAGGGGGTACATAAAATTTGTTAAACAATTTTTTTCACATACACTAAACAAGTTACAATATTGAAATTAACCTGTCATTTTCTATTACTAAAAAGACACTTAGCCAGTAATTTATTTGGTTTACCCCATGGTTGTAAGGGGTGGAAAACGCAACACCTAAAATTTCGTTCCAACGTAACTTTTTGTCTTATTGTTTACCATTTAAAATTTTATTTCCGATAGCCTAAAATATTTTTTTGCTGCGAACTGGTTTATTTTGGGCAAAAAATTCAAGAGACATTTTTTGTTTAGAATGAAACAGGCTATGGGAAATAAATTTTTAAATGGTAAACAAATAATAAGACAAAAAGTTACGTTGGAACGAAATTTTAGGGGTTGCGTTTTCCACCCCTTACAACCATGGGGTAAACCAAATAAATTACTGGTTAAGGACCGATTCCACCGTTGTGTTAAACGAAGTTTAAAATGACATTTTTACATTAACAACGTAATTTTAATCTCCGTTTAACACAACGGTGGAATCGGCCCTAAGTGTCTTTAGTGCTTGTGAAAAAAATTGTTAAACAAATTTTATGTACCCCCTTTAAGGGGCTGTATCTTAACAAGGGATGCTCCAATGAAGTTTCTATATATGGAAGATCCTATCTTTTTTTTTTCGATGAGGAATCACCCCCTTAAATGTTTTACACTTATTTAGTTACACCCTGTATATGTAAAATTACATGTTATTATAGTTTGATATTAACTATTTACGAGAAGTTAGCTAAACTTGATACAAAAAAGGGACCAGATCCTGATGCGATTCCTCCCCTTACTCCTGAAAAACTGCAGCTTTATATTGTATCATCCATTTTTTTTTTTTTTTTTTTTTTTTTTTAACAAATTATTGGATATGGAAGATTTTCAGGATTATTGTAAACTCTCATATATGTCACACCAATATAAAATTCCGGTAAAAAATATGACATTAGAAACTACCGTCCTTCATCTAAAATTAACCCCAAGTAACAATTTGATATTTTATAAAAGCTGAAAAAATGTTTACAGAACTAAATTTATAAAACAGAATATTAGCTAAGAACATTTCCGGAACATTCTTTCAACAGTAATAAACACAAAATGGGCGCAGTATTACAGAACTATTTGGTTCTTTTGTAAATTCTATAAGATTTGTTGAATGCAGTTACCGAACAGTTACTACACATTTACACAGACTTTAAACAAATGTTTTTTTAAACTTTTATAACTGTTTTATAAATTTTCAATTTTGAGGTTAGGTTGCATATCAAAATCAGTAACATTTTAGTTTTTTAAATGTATCTGGTGAAAACAAATTAATTCTATATTTGTCATGAAAGTAAATTCAAGGCGATATTAGTAAAATGGCAGTATCTACTTAAGAGATATCTATGACGCGGTTTAGACATAATGTATAACCTACAATAAAGCGTTTTTGGATACGCAGCAAGAATTACTGTTAATTATATAGCAAATACAATACTAAATTTTTAAGCGCCTCGAGTTTGATTCATATTTCTAATACTTTTTCAGTGTGAAACAAAAATTAAATTAATGCAATTGGATTTTTTTTTAGTAATAAGATTATGCTAATATTACTAATGATTAAAATCTTTAATTAACATTGGTTTTGTCTTAAATACTTGTAAAACCGACAGTAGATTTAGCTTTAAAACTGTCTTAGGTTTTTGTTAAATATGGCGGCTATTCAGAGGTATTAGAAAGTTATTTTAAGACTGAATCATAATTATAAAATATTATTGTAGTAAAAACAGCTGTAATACAATAATTAAGTTGTATTACTCATTTCTACAAAACAAGTTCATCATGTTTTGTTGTATAATAGTTTCATATTGCTGCACTATATGACAAAATATAACATAACCTTACTAAATCATTTCCGATTTAAGTATTTGAGAATTGAAATGATTAGATTTGTATCTACAGCTTTATAGAGCAAGCATACTTTTTAATATTACGAGAATAAGCAAGTTTAACATGGACATCGCCAAAAATATGGCTTTCTTTTAGTATTGGGGCATGATTATTCAGAACATACCTAATTATTATCTGGCTGAATGATAGTTTTTTTTTGAGTGTCTAGACAAACCAGCAAAATGTTTTACTAATATTTTTTACTGTTCTCTGAAAAGCAGGTACCACTTATTTTTTATATTTCTTTACTATTTATATCTGACATTTTCAGACCATACACTCACATACAATTGGTATGGGAAGTAGTTGAACGAACATAAAATACAAAATAATCTGGCGTAGGTACTACCAAATGTAGTTGCTTTATTTTTTTTATAAATATTTTTAAAGTGATAATACTATTCTTAACTAAAATAATTGCTATACAGTTTTCTGATTTGTAATAGTGTATTTCGACAATATATTACAGTTATTTTAAAGTTTTCATCAGAAGCAAATTGCTATTGATGCGGAATTATCTCACATTAATATTTATATAACTATTTTTTAAAGCGTTATTATGAGGTTAAGAAACAGTTATATTTGTATAACCAAAAAGTTCTAAAGGTAATCCAGAACAATAATATAGAATAACTATAAAGCAATTTTATTTTATAAGCTGAAATATTGTATAGAACAGTTGTATAAATGTTTACGTAACAATTTTATAGTTATCGTGAAAACTATTTTATAATGTTGCTGTAAGAATATTGTAAAAACTAATTTATATAACAATTTAGTTTCAGAGAACAAAATAGTGATTTCTGCAACTGTAATACAATAAATTAGCATTCCAGACACAGCAATATAATATCAATAAAATTTAATAGTCTTATAAACTAAAAATTATAAAGCTACTTTGTTAGTTGGGACATTATCCCTAAGCTCTTTGAAAGCATCATAACAGAATACTTAATTTATGACTGCACTAGTATCATAACTCCACAACTTGGTTTTCGTGCATGCAAGTCAACAGAATTGAACTTGGTTGCCAATGCACTGGAGATGGGGTGTCAGATAGATGCCATATATGACTTTTCCAAGGGGTTTGATATATTGTTAATTCAAAAATTAAGTAAATTTGGTTTAGATGGCATATTGTTGCAATGGATTAAAAGCTATCTTCTTAATAGAACTCAAATAATCAAAGTAAAACGTCACTATTCTCATCATTGCTCCATTACTTCTAAAGTTCCCCAAGGTTCCCATCTGGAACCCCTTCTTTTTAATTTATTTGTCAACGATGTAACCTCCTTTTTCGGCACAGTAATTACTTACTTTTTGCAGATGACCTAATGTGTAGTTATCCCATAGGGTGAATTTAAGCAGGAAATTTCATGAAAAATGGTTTTTCAATCTCAATTTTCTTCTAAATATTTAATTAAAAGGATAAATCAATGTTTTCTTGTTAAAATAAACGCCACTATTAATTGTTTCGACTTAAATAAGCTTGATGTTATAGTCCATTTCTATGTTATGGATGTTTACTGCAAATTATCTTTTTGAATTTGTAAATAAACTTGCCTATTTCTATATCATAATTACATTGAATAATAAAATTTTAGGTATATTTAGTTGTTGTCCATCAGTCACAGAAGAACATACGAGATTCAGCACTGAGCTAAATAAAAAATATGCACCTTGTGAAGTTGATCCCACTATTTCGAAACCTGAAAAAACGAAACTTATGGAAGAATGGTGGTCTTTATCAGAAGATTCCCTGAGGTGAACAATAATTTTTATGTTTTATTAAATTATTTTAAATAAAATTTTTATTTTTAGAGGTTTATCTGTAAGTCAAAAAGAAATTGAAGAAGTATGTGGACAGTTGGGGCCAGAATTGAGGTAATATTTCTATTTATAATAAAAACTAATTTTTTGTTCTTTTAGAAAATTTTTATTAATTTTTTCGCAGTCATGTACACATTAATTTTTTTTATTTTATTCTTTTTATGTTTTCACAATGATCTAGTCAATGAACGGTAGGTACACTAGGTGTTGATTTTACTTGAAAACAAATTATCATACTCATCAAAAAATTTAAAATACATCATACATCAAAAATTTAATCAGAAATGTAGACAAATAATTGTTTTGTCTTTTATTTTATCTTGATAGTGCTTAATATGTAATATTTAATTATGATGAACTACATAATATAGTAAGAATGAAATTGTAGATAAAATTAACATGAAATATAAATTTGTTATATATGATACGCTCAGGAACGTATTTATACATTTTTTTAGGGGGATAGACACATCCATGCAACATCATGTTGTCATTATGACGTGATTTTTTGGTGTACGTTACGTCATTTGATGACGTGAAAATAACGTCATGGTAACGTGAGAATGTCACAGAGAAATGACGTCATTCCATATCGTCATTTTCACGAATCGATATCACGTTAAAGTAACGTGTATATTGGGTGTCCTATGTTAGGCAAATTGACGTCATTATCACGAATCTACCTAACGTCAAAGTGACGTCTGTATTGAGTGTCCCAAGGTTGGATGGAATTATTGAAAATACTAAGCAAATTGAAGTTATTTATTTAATCCAAAAAACACATGAAAAATATATTATAAAAAAATAAATTACACTAGTAAATAAAAAAGTCATGAGCAAGAAACCGAAAGGAAAAAATGACAAAAGACTATTAGAGGAACTGACACAACATACCTAAAATTGTAGATTTGATTTTAATTGGGAGTGGGCAAGCATGCTTTACGATTTCATCGAATGACAGCTTACTAGTTGGCACCTGTTTTCTTTTAGTAGGTACTTTATCAGCCTTGGAATGTAGATCTGAGGTCACTTTAACTTTTTTTTAATTTGGTACATCACTTATCATTATCATCCAAAATAAAAGAATTATTAAAATACAGACCACTGAAAATTCTTAAAGATAGAAAGTAAATTGTGTATCTAGTTGTAAAAACTACCTTCTCAGAGGTATGCATATAGTCTGAGTTTATAATAAAAGTTAATAAAAAAAAAGATCATATGTTCTGTGAGATGATAAAAGGTTTGTTCGGGTTTCTTTAAAACTCAATGCAAACCATCCGAGACCAAGTGGAACAGTTCAATTCCAAATTATAGTTCTCACTGTATTTTTGAAGGACCCAAACAGACCTAAAAGGTATCTTAATCAAGTGACCCCATCTTTTATTTTGAAATAAACTATTAAAAAAATATCCTGAAAAACCCATAATCAAAAAATAAAAGTATAACATTACTCACTAGTCTTATATTATAGTATATTTCTTTATATATTTCTTTATAAAGGCGGCTAAAAGACTTGTTTTTACGCAGCGTTAGCCATTTTCTGCACACCTCACAACCGCCAGACCCTCATCATCCGGTTTTTCAAACTCAACAATGCAATACATCTGTAAAATACCAAATTCGGTTTAATATACTTTATTATTTTGTCACATTCTATTTTTTACCTTTTTCTAAAACATTTTATCAAATAAAGTACAATTTAAAAATGCACCACGTTCACAAGGTCACGACTGTCACTCACGAGAATCATGAAGATGGAGGAAACAGGAAATAACAATGACAATATGACATTGCCAGAAATATACGAAAAAATAACGTAATTATGACTAATTCTAAGTGACGTCTATTCTATGTCATCAATGCGACGTCAAATACACGTTACTAATTAGGATATTGTATTTCGGATAAATTAAAAAATTATGTCATAATGACGAGTCTGTATTGACGTCTAATTAACGTTGCAACAACGACGTCAAAGTAACGTCATTAATTGGGATAGTGACGTTTCTGGCGAGTAAACCCAAAAAATCACGTCATAATGACGGCACCTTGCTGCTTGGGATATAACTGTCTCTGGGCACACGGAAAATGTTGAGTTCGAATTCACAGTTTTAACGCTGCCAAAACAATTATTTTTTTGTCTTGTAATTTGTTGTTGCTTAAGGCAAGGGAGGGGTCCGCACCCCCTAAACCCCCTCCTTATATGCATCGGTGGATACACTAGAACTACTTTATTATTTTTAACAGATACTTATTTATATGTATAATTATAAATTTTAGAATTATCATAACGTTTTAAATTTTAACATTAAGGTAAAAAGAAATTAAAAATTATTGAAAACTTTGTTTTTTTAAATGGGAATCCCATTTTTTTCTTACATATTCTTAAAGTACATAAAAAAATAAGAAACTTTTGATGGAAATATTTTTTTTATTGGACTTTTACTTTTTGAGTAACAGCTACTTGAAAATTTTGCTGGGCGAAAAAAAAGTTGGCCATATTATGATTAGCTATAAAAAACGATTTTAGCCAAAATTTTTCCCCACAAAACTATAAAACTTTCGTTTGAAACGTTTCTTTTATAAAAGGCGGAATTTAGCTGTAACACTTTAATTTGAACACCCGGTATAGCATAATACCATTGACAATTTAAAAACTTACAATGGGCTATATCTCACAAACGACAGATATCAAAAAATGCTTAAAACCGTTTTTAGGTTTCTAAGGGGGAACTAAAATGACATAAAACAACTCACAAATTTGTAGTAAAAAAAAATTATTGATTTACCCTGTACAATTATTATTTATACCATTGGATAGCATTTTTTATAGGCTTTTCAATGATGTATCACAAGTAGGAGTTTGCTTTTTAAACTTTTTAGTTGGGGTAGATGGGGCCTAGGGGGTTGAGTTCTCTTTTATGTCATTTTAATTCACCCTTCCTATCCTAAAAATGATTTTAAGCATTTTTTGATATCCTCTTTCGTTTGTGAGATATAACCCATTGGAAGTTTTTGAATTGTCACACTGTATATAATGAGTCATGTCCTTGATAACTACACACACATCTGAATGAAATCATAACTGGTTTAAACAAAATAAAAATAATTGTAACTTCGACATGAGTGATTATTTCCATGGCCTACTTCAGTAGTTTTTTTTTAATTATGGAATATAAAATTTACGTAAATAGTAGGTTTTTCAAAAACAGCATTTTCTAACGTGTTTAAAAAGTATTTTAAAATTAACACATTTTTTACAAACAAGCAAAGTAACAAAAAAAAAAAAAAAACAAAATTGATGTGTTCCAAACATGACTTTCCTGTCTAGTTATTACAGACTTTTTCCGGTTATTTTGTACAACCTATTGTAACACCCTTGTAAATGTTTAGAGTATAAACTAAATACGTACATTTTCTACACACATTTTATCTTACTCGAAACATTTTTTTATATATATTCATTGCCAACGAAAATACTGAAAAATTATAATTTTACGTTTGTTGAAACATTCAACATATTAAAACATAAAACAACAATATTTAATTTTAACAATTAGTATCTGAGCACAAAAACCAACCCTGAAGCGCTTTTGAATTCTTGAGGGCATTACGCAATCCGCGTCACAGGATACGTCACAAGCATGTGATTACTTACTTTAAAAACGATTGGGCAAGACGCGTCAATGCAAGAGACGCTTTCTAGTCGTTTTGTCGCCATATTTATTTTAAAACTTAAAACTAAATACTTTTACAATATTTACAGAATTCTAGGAAATTTGTTATTTAAGCCATTTTTAATACCGCCAAACGCCGTGATTTATTTTCGTTGAGAGATACTGAAGCTCTGTCGCGAAGGAGACAAGCCGTTAAGCGCTTGTGACGTTGTTCAGTAAAAGTGGTTGCTGCGTATGGCTGTAACCAATGAGAAGTGGACAAAAAGTAAATGATGCCTGTGACGTAGTTATTTGTTGGGAGACCTTTCTTATCGGCCAAGGCAGTGCAGTTTACAGGAACACTAACAAAAATCGAGAATGAAAGCTTTGTGTACATTTAATGTAATACTGAACTGTTTGAATGTAATTCAACAAAAAGCACAGGCTAGAGTGTGATGAATTAGCATAGTTTTATTACAATTGTTAAATGTAATCCGGTGTCGTACATAAAGTGTTTAATGGATCTTGAATATTAAATGGTGCTAAACGTTGCTAGCATTTTGTTTTCCACCAGCACAAGGTAACTCTGCTTTTTATAGTCCATTGTATTCGGAGGAAGATGTAGAAAATGTAAGGGGTGAGCACTTATCCAGCACAACATTTTTCCTCCAATTTTTTCAGTACGGTCCATTTTATAGAAATCATGTATAGAATAAAAATTATAGAGAATGATATCGCAAACAACTTTTATTTGAACAATTTTCTTAAAAATTCGAATTTTACACGTTTTATCAAATTTCTCGAATACGGACCATTTTAGGGAAATTATGAATTTACAAAAATTATAGAAAATAACATTGCAAGCAACTTTTATTTGAAAAATTTTCTTCCCCAAGCGTAAATAACAGATTTATTCCATAAAGTAGAAAAACGACCTTTTATAAAGTACCCCCAGATGTTCCGATTATGCCCAAAATTTAAACCTCACCAGATACAGATTCAATGGGTAAGAGTGAGGGAGAGAGAGGGGAGTGGGGGAGGTCCTTTTGGCATTGCTACTGCGCAGAATTTTTCTCTTCAGCGTTCATCTATACCGCGTTCTCTACATAATCACGTTTTTCCCGTTTGAATCAGACCAGTAATAACTGAGAAACACGCTAAGGCCCTTCTGGCTTTCGTTCTGTGCATGATTTTTTTCTTCAACGTTAGTCTATACCTCGTTCCCTACATAATGTCGTTTTTCCCGTTTAAATCCGACCAACAATAACAAAGATATGTTTTAGGCCCTTTTGATCTGTCACTGCGCAGAATTTTTCTCCTCAGCGTTAATCTATATCGAATTCTCTACATAATGCCGTTTTTCCCGTTTGAATTTGACTAGTAATAAGCGAGAAACAT